GGAGGTGTGGGGGGGTTGCTGCTCCTCGTACCCCGCTTGGGTTCAGCGGGAGCGGGGTGGTGCGTGGGCAACCCAGGGTCCCCCCTCCGTGCTCCGCTCCCTGGGTCTGCACGCCTCGAAAAGGCTTAAATATTAGGGGGGAAGCTCAGGGGTGAGTTCACTGCGGGTTGCTGGCATCAGCGCGTCTCTGCCAACCCCAAAGAAGGGTTTGATGTCCTGGGACTTTGTGGGTGGGCTGAAAGGAGCTTGGAGCCAAGTGGGGGTCAGTCTGCCAAAGAACAAGTGATAGGACAAGAGGAAACAGCCTCAAGTTGCACCAGGGGAGGTTGAGGTTGGAGCTGAGGAATAATTTTTCCCCCAAAAGGGTTGCCCAGGGCTGTGCCAGGCTGCCCAGGGCAGTGGTGGAGTCCCCACCCCTGGAGGGGTTCCCAAGCCGTGGCGATGTGGGGTGAGGGACACGGGGCAGTGGGGACCTGGCAGGGATAGGGGAAGAGTTGAACTCCATGAGCTTAAAGATCCCTTCCAACCTAAATGATCCCGTGATTCTGTGATGTGCCTCTGCTTGCTGAGGACACCACGCCGAGCAGGGACCAAAGGCTGTGACAGACCAGCAGGGCTGGGATTTATCCTGGTAGCTACTGGGGCTGGGAGAAACCAGCAGGAACGCTGCGGTTTGTGGCACAGGGACAACTTTGGGTGCTGTCAGACTGCTGGCTTGTCAGCTCCACGTGTTAGTGGCTTGTAAAAAGGGGCAAAAGTAGGATTTGGACTTAAATTGTGCCATCATTTGGACCACCCGACGTTTGGTTGTGGGCTGGGAGCTGGGGGGGTTGTGGCCCGTGCTGAGGGGGGGTCTCGGGGGCGGCGTGTGGTCGGGGTTTGGTTGGGAAGGCAGGAATGTGTTTGCTTTGGGCAGGGTGGAGTTAAAAGTGTTGACTCTAACAGCAGGAGCCTGCCGTCAGGGAACTCACTGGCTTTACCCAGGAATCCTGGGCTGGTTGAAGCTGTTTGAACCTCAGGAATCTCTTCAACATCAAGTTTCATTGATCTTAAAGGTCTTTTTCCAGCTGAATCGATTCCACGATTCCCTTTGGGAGTCAGGTGTGGGGCAGGGGGGGAGCTCCCTGCTGAGAGTGCCCAGGGAGGTGGGGGCTCAGGGGCTCTGCCTTCCCCCTACCCCATCCTGCTGTCAGCAGGTGAATTGCTTCCAGGAATGGGAAACCCAGGGAGATTTTTGGCAGACCTGGGTGTTTTCTGATCACTCCTTGGAGCTTCACTCTGATCCTGGGTGTCTGGAGGCAGCAGCCAGGCTGTTGTAAGTGGATTTCTTTCCAGGCCAGCTCTTCCTTCCAGCCAGGCTGTGGTAGGCTCAGGGAGCTGCTCCAGGGTGGCAAGCACCCACACAGGCTCTCAGCTCCACGGCCCCCTCCCAAGACTCCCTGAAGATATCCCCATCCCAAATTGCTGGGGCTGGAAGGGGGACCCCAAAGGCAGCGCTGGACGTGAGAAACTCCTGGTGGTGTCACATGAGTCAGAGAGGAAAGTATTTCATTCCTGGGCCAGCAAACACCTCTTCCCACTTAATTAGGGTGGAAAATGAGGCGAAGATCCTCTTTGCCTTTCAATTTGAGGCAACGTGGGGGAGCAGAAACCATCCCAGAGGGATGATCCCAAGGGCAGGGACTGCTGGCGCATGTCCGTGCCCTCCCCAGCCAGAGGTGTGCGCTGAGGGGGAGCCAAAAAGTGCCTGTTGGAGGTGGGGTCGTCACCCCCGGGAGGAGCAGGGAGGGGATTTGGGGTCGCTGGCTTTGTTTGCATTGGGAAAATGGGTTTTTTTTGGAGCTGTCTGGCTGGTTGGGAGCTGGTGGCCCAGCCCCCCGCAGCGCTCACATGGCTTTTGTTTGTGTGGGGAGGCAGAGCTTAGGGAGCAGGTTGGAAAAGCTTAAAGTTTGGGGTTTTTTGTTGTTGTTTGTTTTTGTTCCTTTTCCTGAAAGGGAAGCCCATTGTTTTGGGAGAGCCTCGAGCTGATCCTCTGCACCAGCAAGACCTGGCAGCGAGGAAAAACCCTCCCGGAGTAGAAGCGGCGTTGCTCGAGGGTTAAAAATAGGGAGCAATTGAGCAGAGGAACACATCCAGCCTCAAAATGAGGTTGTGTTTCTTGGCTCTGGGGAAAGCACACTCGGCTCGGGCCCCGTTACTCACAATAGTAGTGACGTAGCTTCAAAAACTTGTTGTTTGAGGACTGAGACCTGCCTCAAAACAAACCTCGCTGGGGGCGGGTTACAGACAGAGGTCGTGCTTTGTAACCCTGCTGTTGTCTTTTAAACTGTGAGTAGCTGGGGTTGGGGTTTTATTGGTTGGAAGAGGAGAATTAATTCAGCTGGAATTCCTCTCCTGGCACAGGGCCTTTGCTCGCTGGGAGCAGTGAGGGAGATTTACTGCTCTGCTCGGGGTTTCTGTTTGCCTCTGAAAGACTCAGGAAGCTCAGAAATGGTCTAGGAAAAAGCATCTGCTTGTGGGATTGCCTCTAGGTCTTCTCTCTTCAAAAATATATAGTATTTGTAAAGAGCTGGTCTTCGTCCTGCTCGTGGCTGGGGTGGGAGGTGCTGGGAGGGAGGGGGAAAACACCATTAGAGGGCTGGGGATGGTCAGTGAGGGGTATGTGGGAGCACGGAGCCCTCAGAAAGAGCTGACAAATGGTGAAGAATGTCTGGGAAAAGACCTCAGGAGAAAATGCCAAGCAGCAGCCAGCTCCTACACGCTGTCTGAAGGCATTTCTTCCTCCTTCCTCAGCTGCTTTCCCCGAGAAAAGCAGCTCAGTGGAGGCACTTAGCTTGGGAAGAGCTGGTCAGTGAGGGGTATGTGGGAGCACGGAGCCCTCAGAAAGAGCTGACAAATGGTGAAGAATGTCTGGGAAAAGACCTCAGGAGAAAATGCCAAGCAGCAGCCAGCTCCTACACGCTGTCTGAAGGCATTTCTTCCTCCTTCCTCAGCTGCTTTCCCCGAGAAAAGCAGCTCAGTGGAGGCACTTAGCTTGGGAAGAGCGACCTCCTTCAGAGCAGCTCACCCCGTCCTGGGAAGGGAGCAGCGTCACCAGCACAGAGCCTAAAATCAGAGAAATCCCTGCTGGGGATTCTTTCTGTGCCCCAGCTGAGAGTGTTTGAGGTGAGGCCCTGTAAGGGGTTTATCGGAGTAAAGTCCCAAATTCCTCCTGCTCAGGGAGCCTTTTATATTCCAGTCCCAGGGGTGTGATGCAGCAGAAATAGCTCCTGCCTAAAGAGAAGGGGCCGAGCACTTTCTTTAGCTGGGGTTACTCCTGTTTGCTTTCAAAAGGGAAGTTTTTTTGAGGTGCTGCTTGTCCATGGTCGATCTTAGGACAGGCTCCAGCTCCACGTTTCCTCCTTGGGGCTCCTGTGAGAGGTTTCAGAGATGTTGAGGTTTGGGGGCATCTGTAAATGAGCTGCTTTTAATTATTAGTGGAAGCAGTGGGGCGCCGCAGGGTTTTGGAGGGGGGCACTTGCTGCCTGCTGGCAACAGAACCAAGATCTTCTCTCTTCTCTTGCAGGCCAAAATGAAGGTCTAAGGCCATCCCCGTCGGCAGGGTCCCACCTCCCCCAGCAGAGCTCAGAGCAGCTCCAGGAGGAGCCATCTGTAAATGAGCTGCTTTTAATTATTAGTGGAAGCAGTGGGGCGCCGCAGGGTTTTGGAGGGGGGCACTTGCTGCCTGCTGGCAACAGAACCAAGATCTTCTCTCTTCTCTTGCAGGCCAAAATGAAGGTCTAAGGCCATCCCCGTCGGCAGGGTCCCACCTCCCCCAGCAGAGCTCAGAGCAGCTCCAGGAGGAGCCCTCAGCCAGCTCTCCAAGACAGATCAGATTTAACCCCACGGCGCGACACATCGTCATTAACGAGCACAAGGACGTCACGTTTAATTGCTCCATCAGGGTGCCCCAGGTGCTGCTCAGGCCCGACGCCCCCAGCATTTCCCTGTGGAAGGATGGGAGGGAGCTGCACGTGCTGGACCGTGTGGCCACCAGCCACTTCGAGATCTCCGACGGGGAGGAGGTGGCCATGACCTCCACCTTCAGGTGACCTGCAGGGACCCCCTCCACGCTGACCCTTGTGGGGGGAGACAGGAGCAAGCCGGGCGCCTCGCAGGGGTTTGGGATGGACAAACACACCCTAGTCCCCCAAAACCTGGCTTGGCCAGCCCAGCTTCTGCTGGAGGTGTGCTGTGGGGTGGTTGGTGCTGGTTGAAACCCTTCCCCCAGGCTGGCAGTGTTGCCCTGTCCTCCTGTGGGAGCAGCGTGTGGGGCAGCAAAGCCCTGACAGGGTCTGGGCTTCCTCTGGCAGCATCCTGGACGCCCAGCGCTCGGATAACGGCTCCTACGTCTGCAAACTCAACGTGTCTGGCCTGGAGCTGGTGTCAGATCCCATCTCCGTGCAGCTGGAGGGTGAGCTGGAGGAGGGACGGGGGGGGGTGCTGGTGTTTTGCCAATGAGCAGGCCCAAGAAGAGTGATAACAGCAGCAGGGAGAGGAACCAACACACAGACTGTATCCTAGGCAGAAATGCTACTGTGTGAATCACCGCCGGGGGTACAGAAAGGTAAACAAGCTCAGACATGCTCAGTGCCAGCCCCAATGATCCTACAGAGAACATGACCCAGCCCACAACAGGGGGTACAAACAGAGACCTGAGGTTGCCCACAGTTGGCAGGGGAAACAGCCAGAGCAGCCAGTTAAACCCATCAGAGCAAGGTGCCCACATGGCAACTCTCACCCGATCCACCCGCGTTCACAAAGGTCTAAACAGACCAGGGCCCAGCTCCAGGAGAGTCAGGAGGTCTGCCCTGAACCAGGCAGCTCTGGGGAGTGCACTCCACAGACAGACACTCCTGACTCCCTGCCAGTGGTCCCAGCTTTTATCCCCCAGCAGAGCCCTGACCTTTGTCAGCTCCCTGCGGGACCCCTGGGGCTCATTTCCCTTCTGGCTCTCCCTGCAGGGCCGGCCGCACCCTGGGGGGAAGCTCTAAGGCAAACTCACCCCTCTGGATGAAGGGCTGTGGGAATCACCCCTATATCAACCTTCATTCAGGGGCTCAGGGTTCAGACCCCAGCATTTCAGCTGGACAAGTGGAGAGTTGTGCCCTGGCTGAGTGACAGAGACTGGGAGCTGTCCCCCAGAAACGGGGAGCCCAGGTTGGGAAGGGGCTGGTTGCTGGAGCTGGGCACAGCCCTTGTCAGGACAGTTTGGGGTTGTGGTGCTGAGCTCTCTGAACCTCTCCCTTCTCTGCTTTGTCCGTGCAGGGCTCCCACACTTCATCCATCAGCCAGAGAAGCTGAATGTCACCAGGAACAGCCCTTTCAACCTCACCTGCCAGGCCGTGGGGCCGCCCGAGCCCGTGGAGATCTACTGGTTCCGCAACAACGTGCGAGTCAACGAGAAGCCCCACATCTCCCACTCAGTCCTGACTGTGCCAGGTGAGCCCAGCAGCACCCCAGCCTCGCCACGGCCACCTGGGACACCTGTGTGGCTACCAGGAAGGGAAGAGGCAGGACGTTGAGCCTGTTTTTCCCTAAGCAAGAAGCAGTTTTTTCTCCTAGCCCGTGGCTGCGCCTACAAGCACCCTGCTGCTCTTAGGGGCCACTTTACTGGTGGTCCTCTCTTAATATCTCTGGAGTTGGCCCCTCCAGCCTGTCTCCATGCCAGCCTGGTGGAGCACAGGGAGAAAAGTCCTTCGTGTAACATAAACCCCATTGTGGTTTTGCTGCAGAGGCAAGGGAGAGGAGGGATTTCTTGATTTGCTTGTGAGGAGAAGGCCACTCGTTAATTAGCAGCCAGGCTATAACTGGCTCATCTTGGTGTCCAAAGGCAGCCTTTAAAAGGCAGTGAAAGCAGGAAGAAGTGACTCATTCCTCTTGGATGTTTTTGCATCCGGCTGGCACACACCAGCTGGGGTCAGTTGAACAGTCCCCTCCTGGCTGGGCAGCCCTGCTGCAGGGGGAGCAGAGGCTCATCCTGCCCAGCACAGGGTGCTGAGCCCTTGGCTGGGCCACAGCAGCAAGCACTGTGCCCAGGAGGGGCAGCCCTGCCCCTCAGGGGGGGTCTGTGGGGGGGTAACAACCAGAGCATCTCAGACAGGCTCGGGGCACAGTGGCTGGAAACTGCCCAGCAGAAAAGGACCTTGGGGGTTGGGTCAACAGTCCCAGGTGGTCAAGAAGGCCACCAGCATGCTGGCTTGTGTCAGCACTCATGTGGCCAGCAGGACTAGGGCAGGGGT